TGGTTTCCATATTTAATATTACTTATTTTAACAATTATTTTGGAAAATCATCAAATCAGTGGATTATGGTATTTCTTTCTAAGTGTTATTTTCGTATAGAATTTTAAAACAGTTTATAATATCATCTTTTCTAAACAAATTTATTTTCTAAATTACATATACATACTTCTACTTAGGTTTTACAACAGTACTTAATGCTTAATACTTATAAAATTATAACACTTTTTTGGCTGAATCATATTAACAGAATAAATTATAATTAATATCGATAAATTGATGTAAATATCTTAAATTAACCTATCAAAATCAAAAAAATACAATATAGTGTTGCAAATTTGATATGTTTAATTAATTCTAACATTTATTGATACATCTAATTAAAATTGGTTTTAAAGGAAAAGAAGATTCTAATAAAAGTGAATAGTATTCATTGAATAGTTCTAATTCAGTAGGATCTGCAATGCTTTTTAAGATTAATCAGATTCATCTAATTCATTGACTAAAATCATAAATACACATTTCGGTTAAATTAGTATTTTCTGAATTCGATTTGCATATTATATTTATAAGCAATTTATAATTTTGACATTATCTTAATTGAAATTCAATTACAAATACAGTATATTTTTAGGTTATTTACCATTCATATTATTTTCTATCAAATAGATAAAAGAAGAAAAATAATTAAAATTACAGAAAGCTACATCATCAATAAAGGACAGATTTGATAGCTAACTATCCAAGAACTTCATTTAAGAATCGAATAAAGTATTAGCTTATTTGTTTTAAATCAACAAAACTTTCCATTTCGAACATTGATAAAAAATAATGAAGTATTAGTCATCCTACAATTTAAATTATTTTTTGCATTAATCTTTGATTTGGTCTTGAAACATCATGTTCCAAAATTGAATTCACATTTTTTTGGAAAAACAAAGAATATTATTTTAAAGTTGACTATTCGAGACAAAATAAACTCAAACTTTCATCTTCATTTCTAAATAATTCATCACAAAATTCATTAGCTAATATTTTTGTATCTATCCTAATTAATTCACTATAATTAGTTTATTCCTCATATAAAACTAAGTCGAATTCCGTACAAGTGATATAATATTCAAATCTAACAAACAAGGAGCACATCAACCTTTTGTGTATTTTATTTTGATTCAAAGATGTGACGAGTCTAGTTAGAATCGGTTCTTCTTAATATGGAATTTAGAATGACTTTTCTACAATTTGTGTATTGATTTTTTGGAGGTTCGAAAAATCTTCTTCATCTCCTTCTATTATACAACACATTTATGTGAATGAATAACAAGTAATTTAGGATTGATTTTTTAATTCGACGCACTTTGAATTTTAATGGCTAATAAGGCAACCTAATATAATATATATAACTTTCATATAAAATATCAAAATAACAATTAACTTAAAATTGAAATGATTTATGAATACATCCAAAAATATGTAATTTTTGTTAAACCAAAAAATATATCAGATACCCTGAAAAGTTTGTTGAAGTACTAATCAATGTCATTTCTAAAATATTTCTAGAAATATAGAAAGAAACCACTTGACTATATTTCTAAGCGTGAGCATTTTAGTTTAAAAATAATCATATAATCTAGACAATGAATGTAATAACTTATGATTGAGATTATTATGGTGCAAACTTTTAATGTATGTCATTCTTAAATTATGCAGACAGATTTTTTAATTTGATGACAATATTTTAACTTAAAAAAATATTTTGCAGGTAGTAATTTCATTTGTCAGAAATTAGATTACAATTATAAAGATGATAGAGGATGATTAAATTTACTTTAATAAGAACTAGATTTTATTGCAAATGAATATCTATTAGTTAAGTTTATTTGGATTCACACCTATCCTACTCTTGATCCACTGATTTGAAATTTGGAAGATAAAACTACTGAATAATATTAATGAGGCAAAAATTGAAAAGCTTGAAGTGAGTTACTGGAAAGAAACTGAAAATACCAAGTTTGTTTGGATTCTGAAGCACCTTGGATATCATTAATTAGAATAAGTTCTTGACACTGAATACTTCAAACTCTGACATTATGAGACATTGAACCTTCAACGAATGCATTAAACCGAACTGCAAGACTCTAGTAACAATATTTTATTAATATTGTTTTTTTTTTATAATACATTAATTTGGAAAATTTGAAAAAAATTGATTACAGCCATCTTAAGAATTTAATGATTTAAATTCTATACTAAAGCTTTTTGAACATAATCTTGTCTGATCTAATAACTATTAAAGGAGTACTATCTTCAAAGTCAAAACCTAAATGATGAGTCTATTAATTAGACAAATTTTAATAAATAGAAATACTTTAGAAAATTGTAAATAATGAGGCTTCATATTTTAAGAATAAATAAAGTAAATTTGAAAAACTCTAGCATTTATTAAGTGTCTTGAGTGTAATACAAACAAATAAGTATTGTATTTTAATTAAAAGATGAAAGAGATGAGATTTGAAAAACAACCTTGTGTGGAGGATGGAATGAGATGTGTGGCGGTGATTTTGGAGTTGAAATATTGGGAAGTGAATTTCCAAATTATTTGATGTCTAATAAATACCTGTAGTATTGATTACAGAACTCAAATCTATAGGGTTATTATATGCATTATTATTATAATCGTGCATATTTTATATTAAATATATAAACTACAACTTTGAAATTGTAATCCTTACCCAACGAAAAGTTATATGATAAGCTGAGGAGTTTTCATCTTCACGTGAAAAATTTCTCTAACATTTATACATAAAGAAGTCAAATCAAATTTCAGATTATCATACACAAATTTAAGATTGGATCTGGAAAATTTGAAGTTTACCGAATATAGATGGGTTTATAATTCTCCCAGAAGATGTATGGGCAATGAAATTCACTCAACACAAGGTAATTTTATGCAAAGAATAAAAGAACTTCAGTGGACTGTTGTTTATGAGACATTAGATATAATTGTGGTTGTCATACATTAAACCTAATTTTGACTAGTTTATGAAAACTAACTACTCTATTAAGGAAAAAGAAAATTGGAGATCACTAAACAGATGGTCAACACATATGATATTGAATTGTCGAAATCAAGAGAGATTAACGTTATTGAATCTTCATTTGGTTTCAAACCAATTATCCAATTAAGATCAACTCAAGAATAATATGTGAGAGTGATTAGCTTCAAGGATAAATTCTGGGGCTAAAATTTCACAGAGATAATAGAAAAAAGGTTGACCTCTCTCCCAACTTAAGAAGCTCCGATTTAGATAAGTAAAGGTACTGACGACGAGCTCATTAAGAAAAATGGGTTTAATCCCCAACTTTTGTCACAGGTTAAAACTTACCACATTTCAATAATTTGCAAAAAAATTGCAAGTTTTGTTAATTTCGCGATGATGTTGAGATTTATGATTCTGTGCTTTTTAAAAATTTTGGTGAAACTATTCTATTAGTTAATCAGCCCTTTGTAAAACATCCAACTAAAGATTAAACTTTTTCAAAGAGATCAGAGTTAAAAATTAATTTAGTTGAATCCACATAAACTGGATTTAAGATATTCTCAGAAGGTTTGATCTACATTTTGCAATAAGGGGATTTATTTATTGTTACTCTATCAACAACAATATGAGTTACAATATAGATGCGCAATTTTCATCAAGAGATCTCGAAAACTTAAAATTAAAATGAAGATTCTGTTCAAGCAGGATGAATGCAAAAATATCAAATATTCTGGCGAATCAAAAGAATCATTCATCATTCATCATTCATCAATTTTTTAATGAAGAAATTAACAATCAAATTAAAGCTAAATCCCTTTGAAATGCACTCTTGAGTGTATTCAAAATTAATGTGCATAAAAAATGTAAATTAATAACCCTTTATTCAAATAAAAGAGCATCTATTATAATTAATTACAAAATCGTTTTAAGAAATTGTCTTTGATAGTTAAAAGCTACTTTTATATAGGCAAAAGACATTTTCTTACTTCAACATTATTTAATTGACTGAAACTATACAATAGAATGTTATTTAGTATCTAGCAGATGCACAACCTTTGGAAAAGCTGGAAGTGTATTGAAATAAATGGATGTGAAACTTATTTATCTTTAGCTGTTTCCATATTAACTTGGAATGAATAATTATTTTCTCAGGGGAGCTGGTTGTCTCAATATTCAAAAACCAATATATTGATAGAAGGAATAAAATTGGAGAGAAAAGAAAGAATTCAAAATACAACAAGTATTTTCATGAAATTACAAGTGTTTATGAGTACTTCCTGAAATGATTTTTTTTTATAAATCTTATCTTTTTCCCTTTCAAAAATAGATTAGGGTAGGTAGATCATTAATCGCTATATTAACTTTATGATGCTTAATACTAAGACTTTAGATTACTTTCACTTCTAGTTATTCACATCTTCGATTGCATTAAAAATAAGACATTGCTCATTCAAAAAAAGTTGAATTTAAACAAATAAATTCAATATTCTAAACTAGGTGCTGTAAGTCATTCATATTAAATTAACAGAATCTTAATTTAATAATTCTAATTTAATCAACCTAATTTATCTCTTAATATTCAAAATAAATTCTTATTTTTAGTAATTTTAAAAGTGGCTCTTCAAGTCTAAGAACAGGAAATCAAATTTGATAACTTATTTTTAATTTGATTGATGAGCTTTAAGATTTTTATATATCAATGATATTTCATTTGATAAATAAAAATTATAAGACTTGGCTTGAAAAATAAAATTTAATCTGGAATTTCTTTATTCTAAACAGACGTTTAAATATTATTAAAATTTATTTAAGTCTTTTGGTCACGAATTAATAAGAAGAATATTTATTCATTATAACTCTTATAATTCATCATAGCTTCACATTTTAACCTAAAATCTGAAATAAATAGTTAAAACCCTCACAGAATTATAAAATCGTAACCTTGACTCAATTACTAATAATAGGCCGTTTTGCTTTTTATATATTGCTCTTTCATAATTTATATGTCATCGTTTCTCAATACTAAAATGTCAAATATCTCTTGCAATCTAGTGTTCAGAATAATATAAATCAATACTGCCTCAAATCAAATCACACCAACATATAAAAATTAGAAAAATTCAACTTTTCATTTTGAATGAATGAATTCCTTAATTATTTTTATCATAATTTATGATGAAAAATAAATAACTTTATTTCATAATTTTGATACTTAATTATTGTATCTAAAATAACAGGTAAATTTTTATAAATATACATTTAGTTGAAAACTGATGTATTTACCATGTTTTATTTAGTGTTGGTTTCTGATCTATTAAATTTCTCATTTTTTAAGTCATTCTAACTCTTATTTTATCAGTAATGGGGGGATAGTGAGTCTCTTCATTAAATGAATCAAACTTGATCTTTAATTAAAAATTTTCGTTTATCTTACTATATATGTCTGTCTACTTGTAGAAGTTTTACTGGGGATAATTATAATTAATGCATATCATGCTTTTCAGGTTCAGCTTAGTTGATGGTATATTTAGATGCCCTATCAGACCTATTTAATAATTGAATTATTTGATCTGCAAAAGCAACACTCAGTAAATTTTTGCAATATCAAACCTTAATATTTAACTTGCTGATATTCCAACCATTGATTCTAATCTATTTTTAACATGAATTATCAAAAATGGATTAGTTTTTATGGGTAAAGTATTTGAAAGGATAATTGTTCTTGTTTGAGTCTTTAAATCATAAAAATCTATTTATTTAATTTATTTGAGGTTCAATATGAATATTTTAAGTTTACCATTCCTGAAGATAATTAGATTCTAATTTACACCTAAATTGTGCTACCATTGATACTCACACCAATATATTTTTTAAATTCAATTATATATTTTGTATTAAAGTTCCATTATGAATTTATAATTCAGCTAGATAAAATAATGACTATTGGAACAGAAGCAAAATGTAGATGGAAGCTTTTTCCCCTTAATTAACATATTAAGTTTTTAATTTTATCAATCCCATCTTACTAATTTTTTTAAGGTCCTATAACTAATTAGAAATCATATGAAGAAATACAGAGCTCTTTAACTGAGGAACAATTACCATCCAATTCTAATAATTATTTTGTTAAAGCATTTAAATCCCATAACTATATGGTTTGAAAACTTTTTTAAGCTAATATAATATGAAAATAGAATTTGACATAAAAACATCATTTTAATGGATTACATTTCTTAAAATAGCATTCATTTATTCAGCACAATTTGTTTTAAAAGCAGAAATCAATATGCAAGATTTAGTATTCCAAAATTTATTAGGTCTAAATAACTAGAAACAAAATTTTATCAATTATAAGACAAACCATTTTTGTACATTTGAATTTTTAATCAGTCAAAATATTTGATGAATGAAATTAAGAGCCTATTATTATAGATTTAATAAATGAGGTAAATTTACTGGTAAATAAGAAACTGTAAATTAAGGAAATATTACAAATGATCCTCTAAGACCAATTCGAAACTATAGATTAATAGTAATATATGGTATAGGAAGATAAACATTGTCCTGAATTTTTTAGTAATTTACAGTATGTTTAATTTTGGTTATATATACATGTCTATCACTCTTCAAATTAATTGAGGATAATCGTGAACTGGAAAACTCTCTTTAACTAAAATTAGGAGTATCACCCTTTCATAGCATAAATAACTATCTAGATAAATTTCATTTATAGGTCTAATATAAGAAAATGTTTCTTAAAGTTATTTGAATAGTGAGATCACAAGAGTGATTGAAAGAAACTTTGAGTTAAAAAATCTCTGAATAGATTATTATCTAGCTGTTAAATCCTCAATTGATATTTAAAATAATAAGCAAAGGTTGTTAATGTACACTTTTTTGTCATAGAAAATATAAATGGAGAATGTGAAGGGTGTTGAGAAAATTCTAATATTCATTCATTCAAACATCAAAATTCATAAGGGATTATTACTGATTATTGAATAACACAAAAATAAAATATAAAATAGAAATCGTTAATTTAATTTTAATTAAAATAATTTCTACTTATCTTTATTAAAAAATAAATGTCTATATCAAAACAGAAGAAAGCATTCATCCTCAAATTAAGTAATAACGTCAGCATTTGTTTCATGAAAAACCAAAAGAAGGATTCACTGAAGAGGGGTAAGCGGATTTCAATATAATATAAATCAACTTAGAAATGAAATTAATAAATAAAATTCATTATTTATACTATTTTCAGTCGTTGAGATTTAATTAGAACTCATCAGTTGGCATTGTAAGATAAAAAATAATATCAAATAAAAAATTTCGAAACTATTGTGAACATCTCAATGAAATAATTCTAGTTCACCATTTCTTAATTATATATTCAAACAAGAGAAAGTCAATTTAGCAATATGGCCTTTTTCTATCTAACATATATTGCAATCCTATTGAAACTCTCCAAAAAAACAAAAGTCAGGAATATATTAACTGTAACTGACTGTTTATTTATAATTTTGCTGATAGCTTATTAATTGTTTCTTTTTTTCAGATTAAATCAAAGATCTAACTTCACATTAGCCGCATTAATCTGTTTTTTAAAATCTAATATTAGATAATAAATTTGTTAATGAGTTATCATTCTGCCATAGTAGGTTTTGTCTAGCCTGTCTAGCATTAAATCCAAGAGTATTCCACATCAAATCGATTACATATTATGGAGATATAATGTCATTTATTATGTAAAACCTCCATAGCTTTCTCCAATTATAATTTCATCAAATTAAGTTAGCTCCAAGGGAGGAATCTAGAAAAGGGACGAAGCTATCCTGAGATGCATAACCTTTTCTCCTCATTCCTTTAAATTTTGATTCAAACTTTTGCTATCAATTTGTAACTCCCAGGTATTTAGGATACCTAATCTAATCCATGACCATCATGTGCCATCCTTTTCTTTCCACATTTACCCTAATTAGGTTGTTAGATTTTGAGCTGTTTACTTGAAAGTTAAATTCTTTGGCTATATCGAATGAAAATTTTTGGTACATTTCTATTAGAGTGAATCATCAATCATCTGAATAAACAATCATCATAGTTTCAACTTCTCGTAAGTTATCAAATTTATACTGACTCCTTTTTCTACTTCTAATCCATCAACCAACCATCAAGAGCCCCATTTAAAACATAGATCTTGTCCAATAAAATATTAAAATCTATATCTAACAGAAAAGGAGCTAATCATTGATAAAATATACTTTGCATTTTATTCCTACATCTTAAATTTCTAATTTTTCATAGATCCATTTCAGCCCCAGAGCCATTGCTTGTAAAAGATTATAGTACCTTTAATCTTCGCTAAGGCGATAGAAAACTACACCCCTTCGTACCATATTGTTCATTAAAGAGAAATAAGAACAAAAGCATACTATTAGATTTTTTCATATTGAGCTCCTTAATAATCTTCGATAAATGAGTTTAGCCACCTAAGTCCGAGACAAATCCAACTTAGCATGATTCAATAAGGTTGGAACATATCTGTTTAAATCTATTCATAAAAAGAGATTCAATCAGCTTGATGAAATCTTCATAGATTGAAGGGGATTTTCCCATTTTTTAATAGAAAATTGAAATTTAATACTGTTTTAGATGAGTCGAAGGAAATTCATGGAATTCTATTATACAATAGATATAGTTTATTTATTTTAATTACAGGCCAAGTTATTAATCATAGTGGTTTTTCTAATTTTTTGTCTAATTATCTGCTCCTAGAATTGATATAGCCATTGCAGGTTTTCTGAGTGATTTTAAATTAAGGCTTTAGTAGTTGTGGTTAGATGTGTATTGACAAATAGAATGGTGAAGTTCATAAAGTCAGAGTTGAAAACATGGGTTTTTAGATTTAACATTAAGAGAACAAGGATTCATTAGATACAAGTTGTTATAATTCCTTTATGCCTAGTACATTTCTTCTAATAAATTCAATTATTTTATAATTGTAACTTAAGAGACATTTTCAAAATACGCATATAAAAAATTTAAACACTACCTTTATTTATAGGTTAGTTTCCAGACTTTCAAAAATATTTGAATTTAAACGACGGAATTAACTTGAAAACAGCGTGAAGTACACTCTAATCATCCATAAGCATCAACTAAATCTGTGGTAATAATCGGTATTCATATTAAAAGGAAGGCAAATGAAAAAGTATCAAATCTGCATACAAAATTAACTTGAATGGAGATATGATAACATTATTATACTCAAAAATTCAGAGTTCTAAGGAATAAATTTATAGATATGAAGCAATTAGATAATATTCGCAAATCACTTAGGCTTAATGGTATTCATTTTTTGAAACTCTAAATAGCATATGGATTGTAATTCTCTATTACTGCAAATTTTTACCGATCATTATATGCAATTTCAATATGCAGGGGTCTATATTTTTCTTTCCTTTTGAGATCATTCAAGTTCAAGGAATAAATTGAATTAATAATAACTATCACATCTTGAAGTACCTCATTGTTTTTTAGAATTTGCATATCCACCCACCAAAGTTCAGTGAGTTTTATTACATATTCAAAATTATCAAGCCTCAACAACATCATAATCTGAATTTGGACGAACCTCCTTTATTTACCTTTGGATGAAATAAAATACTGTCCATAAGAAGGTCAAATGAATTTTTATAAAAGCAATTTTTAACCATTATTCATAGTGATTAGAGGGCACGAAAATAACATCTTAAAAAGAATTAAATGCCGTATTGTGTGTAAGTTCCAATATTAAGTATCTTCTTAAGTATCTTCAATAGGGGCGAGTAAGTTAGGTACAAGGTTAACCTTTTTTTAGATGATCACTCATGAGGCAGTGATTAGGATCTACTTCATTGGCTTTTCTTCCTACAACTATCTTGCTTATAAATTTGTAATGGTTTCCTTCTTGGATTCCACCTTTTCATTTTTCTGATTTATCAAGAGTTATATAAAATCTATTCTTCCCTAGAATTATTTGCAACTTTATTTAAGTAATTTTGTTATTTGCTGATAACCTTTATCAATTAAACGGTCCAATTTTCTTTTGTTAAGTTTTGGGATCAGGTTGCCTCTTCAGAAATTATTTTTCTTCAGATATAGGGTTTTATGTTTATTAATATAAAACTTTTTAAAATCCTGAATTTAAAATTTTTCTCTCTTTTGTTTTCTAAAAAATTATTTATTAACTATTTAACCTATACTCTATTTTATTGTTCATTAATGTGATTTCCTTTTAAGATTAGTTTCCTGATAGGACCTCCTATCAGGAAACTAATAAGTGATCTTTGTTGCTGATGTTATACACAGATTTCATAATTGTATATCCAAGATTTATGATATAAGACTGAATTTTTTCCTGAATAATTATACCAATATAAGCAAAAATATTTCATGGCAAGGATTCTACTTCTTTTATTATTTAAATGTTTGATCAATTGAATAAGATAATTGGTCCAATACTACGATAAATGTTCCAATACTACGATAAATGTTCCAATACTACTATAAATGTACAGTTTCTTAATTCTTAAACTTTATAGTTTTCCCTTTGTTTCTAGAGAGGTATTCTTTATGACTTTAAGGGTTGATGCACTTAATCCTTTATTTCATTAAAAGGACATTGAAATTGATAAAACACATTTAGGAATAGCATTTCATTAACTGAAATTGTTCTATTATAAAATTTAGGTCAGAGTATGATAAGATTTAATTATTGTTTGATAATATTTCAAAAGTATTTTTGAAGCAATTAAAAATTAATCAATTAGAATAGAGAAAATAAATTAAAAGGCATATTTTCAAACTTTCTTGTGTGATTCTTCAAGCATTAAAACTATACATTTATTTAAATTAATTATCTCTCAAATGAGCAGCCGATGATAACTTCTTGATAAATTTTGAATTCATTTTAATAATAATAGCGATATTATTGTTACAAATTCTAATGGAATTAAACTTACCCCAAAATTAATGGAAATCAAATTAATAAAGGAAATTTTTATTAGTTAATCCGTAACAACCAAAATCAGGTATTAATGAATAAAATAAATTATTTGATCGCTACTTAAAATTATCTACTCATTTTCTAAAGTAATTCTTAAAATAAAAGATTTAGAAAAATTCCTATTAATTTCTAAATAATGGCTAGAGCAAATTTTGTGATAGCCCTCCTAAAGTTTCTGATACTTAAATTACATTTGGATGTTTAAGAAGCTATTGATTAGAAGATACTGAAAATTTCTAAAACAATAACATTAGTAAGAATGGTGTCCATCCATATAAATAGAGTAAAAGATGGATAAATGATAAACTGTAAAAGTAATGATATAAATCCAAATAATAATCAGACCTCCGAATCAAAAAGTATTTTAGGTATCATCAATGTGGATGCTTTGGCACTGCTATGATATTTGGGACCTAAAGAAAAAAAAGATTCCATTAACGTTGTTTAAAAATTTATATAATAAATAATACCCTATTTTTAAGTATCCTAATTGATATCAATCTTCAAACCATATCTTTAGACAACACATAGTTTAATAGTTAGTTCATACTGAAACTGCGTCTTATTACTATTGTGACAAGTAAAACTCAGGCGAAAGCAAAATAAGAATATTAAAGAGTAGCTCTGCTTCTAAATTAAATTATTGAAGCCCATTCTTTATTATTTAAATAGTTTAATTAAGTCTTAAGATAAAATCTATTACTTTACTCTCAATCATTTAGAAATTAAATTAATTGGGCTTATTATGGAATAATTTTTTGAGAGTAATATTTTGAGCGTCTAACCAATGGTAGAATAGAAGGAATTACACAAATTTGTTAAAAAAGCCTAAAATTTATTAGATTCTTCACTAATTATATTCCTATAAATTAACTTAATTTTTTTAGTATTTTAAACTGATTTCATAAATGATCAACAATAAAATATCTTGTAATAATGTGCAATATTTTATTTTAGTTTTTTATTGTTAAGTAACTTGCAAAATATTTCGTTTCTTTTGCGAGTAACATAGCAATTAAATATTGATATGTTTCTGCTGTTTATTTCGTTCATTATTTATTAAATGCTACTCTCAAAATAGAGCTTAGTTGAGAAATTCTACTTATATTATATAGTTTGGCTGACACAATTCTATTTTAAAGCAGCTAGCATGATAGAATAGCCATAATATTAATAAAAATAGATTCAAATATTCAATTACTTGCAGGATAATTTATAACCCCATTTAGTTTAATAATTGATTATTTTGAACTCATTTCTTTAAAATTTCAAGTCTTGAACAACTTTAGATACTAAGTAATTATTCTAGAATTAGTACTTTTGATAAAAGTTTTACATGCAGACATACTCTATTCGAAAACTAGACCTAGCAGAAGCTGCTAATTATCATTTAATTTATTTATAAGGGGCCTCAATATTACACTTTAGAAGTCTGAGAAATACATTGAGGTGCTCCTGAGGAAAATTATAAATAACTCTTTATCACAAAGAGGCTGTCATATTCCTAACTTTATTTTACACACTTCTTCCAAAACCTTCTATTTAAGTCATTAAATTCGTATTTCCAATTTTGGTCTGAATGCTGTAATATCAATATAGATATAACGACTATTCTGGCTTAATATACATATTTGCCATTAATAAAATAATTGAGGATAATAAGTTCCATGATGAAGATAAATTATGATGTCTGGTTTATAGGAAATAACCTTCAGTAAATTTAAATAATTTCTTCGATGAAATTAATTCTCCTTTTATAAAGCCTACTTAATCTTTTGATTAATTCTTAGGACACTTTATGAATAGGCCAGTTTTCATAAAAATCTAATTCTTTAGGTCATTTAAAAACCAGACTTTTATTGAAAGTGTGTAAAAGCAAATAATGAGTCGTTTGTCTTAATATAGCATGAGATGTTAAGTGGAACTCAGATTATTTTGTGCACCTGTAGAATTTACGGCTGAATTACCAACTCTACATCACAATAGACTTATCAAAACATACATGCACTATCCCTCTTTAACCCCTGTTCAAGAATGAGAAATTTGAAAATTTCTCAAGGAATTAGTTTAATTTTAATAGAGTCTTTAAGTCATTAAAGTCAAATTTTTAAATGGATTATATCAAGGATGAATTTATTAATGATCCTCCATAATTAGGAGACAGAAATTCACATAAGAAAGTGACATTTCATTCAAAGAGAAGATTAAAATAAGGTAATATAAATCTTGACTAATTATGAAAAGTCCTTTTTTTGAAATCATTTGGCAATGTTTTAGATTTCTTTTGCCTTTCATTATCCTGCATAATATTTTTCTAATATATATATCTTCCTTGGGTCTGGTGCATTAATCAATGTGTTGTATAATTCAAGTATTTCTTTTTAACTTAGACTAGATTAGATTAGAGTCACTAATTTTAGATTGTAATCCGGCAATTTAAGGGCAAGTATCAATGTATGTAAACCCTTTAAGTATAACAAAAATCAAACAAAAGGTTACTTCTGAGACTAGACTTATCTTTGTGAATTGTTTTAGTGTTAAGAGCAGTCGAGTAAATTTTTATCAAAGCAGTTCTATTCTATAGCAATCATTGTTTTTTCTATTTTAATTTAAGGCCCTACTAAATTTGCAATCCAGTCTATAAATAGTTCTGATAATATGGCCGCCATTAGCTGTAGTTATACTGACTTATTTATCTTTAAAAATTAATAATCACCATCAATAATCATAGTTTGATTCAGCAAAGTGATAATTGTAATTTTTAGTCAATTTTTCTTTCTTGACTCAAAAATAATTATTTCTAAATTCAAATCACTATATTTTACACGAATCAGGAAATTAAAGATTTTTTCTGAGTAACCGTTTTCTTTCAAATAAGCATTTAATCATACCCACCAATGTTTCTTGTGATCTTCTTCTGCTTTTTTTTTTGGTCTTAAATAGGGCTATATATATATCTATATGTTCAATAAATTTTCTTGGATTCCTAACTTTGTATAATATCTTGTCCAACCTTCGAAACTTCTTCATACATTTAGGTGTTTATTATCTAACTAACAAATTATAAAAAAGATGATACTGTATAGCATAGGAGTGAGAATTGCACATTTGCAACTAAAGGAAAATTTATTTAATAATATATAAAGTTTGTATATCTAAAGTTGATTCGGATAAAGTGACTATAAGTATCCTTTCTGGAATATCAAGTAAAGGATTAACATCAGCTTATTAAAAGGGATTAGTACAGGTTATAAGTAAACAAAATCACAAATTACACGCATAACAATTTCAGATGATTGTTCTGAACCACTTTTCAATTCACAAGTTGTATTAAGGGAGACTTATTATTAATTCAGATTACTGTGCAAACGCAATTACATCGAAATGTGAGACTATAAACACCAATGCATTTTGCAATTATGAACGCTAGCAAAAACTATAAATCTGTTGCATAGTTGTGGCTGCATAATTGCTGTATCTAAAAGTATTTTATAGAGATATTTGATTCAATTTATTGCTCCTTACTTTTATAGGAATTAAAAAATTGAGATTTACTTTTCCTAGCTCAATAACAATACTCAAATATGAGATTAATAAATGATTAAATTATTAGTCACACACACTTATCTTAAACCCAATCAATAAAACCACAAAGGATCAAAATGGCCAATCTTGGAGAAATTCCTTCTAAGATATTATTCAAAATTTTATCACTATATTTTTATTAATCAAGTTAGCTAATATGTCCTTAATGATTGATTATCATGACAAACCCTCATGTTAATCACCCCTGCAATAGAAAATCTTGATTGACCTTAAGATTAATGAACAGTATGGAAATGTCTCTTTCCCTTTTTCAAAACTTGTTAAAATCATATCCTCCAATTAAGTTGGAAATAATATCAATAATTGAAGAAAAATGTCATTTCATCCCTATTCATTTGCTTAGTTTGATAGGCTGAAAAATTTACTTCACCTTAATCTCCATTTTTCAGCCCTGTTATCATTAATTTTAAAAGAGCCATAACTTTGTATTTGATAATGAGAACAAATATTTCATCTTCTTCTTAAATCATAAGACCATTAATTACATTCCATTATTTGAATTATAAAAAATTAAGATGGCAATTTATTATAATGGTAAAGCATAATGCATAATACATAATACAGACTATTAAATTAGCTCTTTTTATTGCCCGAGTCTTTGAGTAAGGCTTGGATCTTAGAACTACACGATGTCTAAGGGTACTAAAGTAGATAACAATTATTTTGTTATAGTTTCTTGCATCCTCCTTAAATCACTTTGATTTATTGTGAAAAATTGAGAAAAAGCGATTTGAATATTTGAAGTTTGAAATAGATGTATGTGAATATGAAGGNTGTTCAATAAATTTTCTTGGATTCCTAACTTTGTATAATATCTTGTCCAACCTTCGAAGCTTCTTCATACATTTAGGTGCTTATTATCTAACTAACAAATTATAAAAAAGATGATACTGTATAGCATAGGAGTGAGAATTGCACATTTGCAACTAAAGGAAAATTTATTTAATAATATATAAAGTTTGTATATCTAAAGTTGATTCGGATAAAGTGACTATAAGTATCCTTTCTGGAATATCAAGTAAAGGATTAACATCAGCTTATTTAAAGGGATTAGTACAGGTTATAAGTAAACAAAATTACAAATTACACGCATAACAATTTCAGATGATTGTTCTGAACCACTTTTCAATTCACAAGTTGTATTAAGGGAGACTTATTATTAATTCAGATTACTGTGCAAACGCAATTATATCGAAATGTGAGACTATAAACACCAATGCATTTTGCAATTATGAACGCTAGCAAAAACTATAAATCTGTTGCATAGTTGTGGCTGCATAATTGCTGTATCTAAAAGTATTTTATAGAGATATTTGATTCAATTTATTGCTCCTTACTTTTATAGGAATTAAAAAATTGAGATTTACTTTTCCTAGCTCAATAACAATACTCAAATATGAGATTAATAAATGATTAAATTATTAGTCACACACACTTATCTTAAACCCAATCAATAAAACCACAAAGGATCAAAATGGCCAATCTTGGAGAAATTCCTTCTAAGATATTATTCAAAATTTTATCACTATATTTTTATTAATCAAGTTAGCTAATATGTCCTTAATGATTGATTATCATGACAAACCCTCATGTTAATCACCCCTGCAATAGAAAATCTTGATTGACCTTAAGATTAATGAACAGTATGGAAATGTCTCTTTCCCTTTTTCAAAACTTGTTAAAATCATATCCTCCAATTAAGTTGGAAATAATATCAATAATTGAAGAAAAATGTCATTTCATCCCTATTCATTTGCTTAGTTTGATAGGCTGAAAAATTTACTTCACCTTAATCTCCATTTTTCAGCCCTGTTATCATTAATTTAAAAAGAGCCATAACTTTGTATTTGATATGAGAACAAATATTTCATTTTCTCAAATCATAAGACCATTGATTACATTCCATTATTTGAATTAAAAAAAATTAAGATGGCATTTATTATAATGGTAAAGCATAATGTATAATACATAATACAGACTATTAAATTAAGGCTCTTTTTATTGCCTGAGTCTTTGAGTAAGGCTTGGATCTTAGAACTACACGATGTCTAAGGGTACTAAAGTAGATAACAATCATTTTGTTATAGTTTCTTGCATCCTCCTTAAATCACTTTGATTTATTGTGAAAAATTGAGAAAAAGCGATTTGAATATTTGAAGTTTGAAATAGATGTATGTGAATATGAAGGTGATTTTTATTAAACAATTTTAATCTATGGGTAGGGCCAATTAAATTCTCATTTCAACATATTTCATTAATGAAAGAAATAGTCATTTCGTGCATCACTATTTACATATATACATGAAGTTGCACTTTCGATATATGTTATCATCCTTTGTAAGTAAAGAATTAATATTATTTTCATTCAGATATCAAATAATAATAAATCAAAGACTATGGATTGGGATAAAAAATAAAAAAAACGATGGGAATCTAAAATTAAAATTGTAATAATCTCCAAAATCTTTTCTTTCAACAACTTCTAAAGAGAAGCCTAATTGTTTTTGATTATATACAAAACATTCTTTATGTAATCGCTTATTTTTACTATAAAATGATTAATTCAGATGCATAAATTAATGATAAAAATTAAACGTTATCTCATTAATTTGAAATGAATCAAATTATTAGTGAATTTCATTTGATATTGAAGTATTTTATAATTTAACAAAGTGGTAAAGTTCATTCTTTTTTTTGGTTGGGAGTGAATAAATCATTAGTACAAACAACAATCCTTCTAATTGTTACAATTAAATTGTAACAACTTATCATAACTTATACTCAGATAAATTGAATTAAATAAGTTCAAATTATTGTTGTTAAGTTTTGTTGTTAGGTGTAGACCACCTAACAACAAAACAGCAAGTAAAAATATAAATCTGTACCTTAGTTTTAAATAAGTCAGTCATAAACGAAAATTCTTATGAAGAGTATTTTTGAATGATCCCATTAAAAATATTATTTTTGAGAAACTAATCTTTATGTGAGCTAGGTCTGTGGAGTCAAGGTTCAGACTTGATAAGACTGAATGTAAATACTTCGTCAAGGTTGAAGAGTAATAAGCGCATGCGGCAATACATATATACCTAATCTAATTTACAAATTCCATCATTGCTTCTAAGTCCATTCTTAATATCCAAGTAACTATTAAATCCATTATCCATTTTTTAATCGCCTGCATTAAATCAATTAAAAAGGTTGGTTGGTCTCTTTAGAAAAGTACCATATAGGGTTAAGAAGAGCTGTAAAAATTTCCATATCCAAATTATTCGACAAATTTCTCAAGTCCTTATCCGAATCATTCTTTGGGAATAGTTTTTTTGCGCTGATCTTGACGATCCTTGAATTCTAGTTTTATATTTTTGAACTCTTACTCTTTTCTTAATTGGTAAGTAATTTGAACATTTCTTTATACTCCCCTTCCA